AGGCTTGCCTGACAGGTGAGCCCGTAAGGTATGCCCGCACGCCTGCCACGTGGGTAACAGCTAAACCACCTTCCCACTCGTCGGTGCCCCTGTGGCAGGAGGAGAAAGTCCTTCGGGGGGACGGAGACGCAGCCACGCTCGGCTGTGTGCTTGATGCGGAAGGCCAGAGGCCACGCATGGCTAGTCGCAGGCAGGTGCTGCTCTGGGATCTGGAAAGAGCAAAAGTGACAGGCTGTGACAAAAAAACAAGAGGAGGACCTGTCAGGATGCTTGTGGGTGAGCGGCACATCAGATACATGCCTGCCAGGGGCCATGTCACTGGGAGGGACTCTCAAACCCACGGGCAAGATGGTCTCTGTGTGATGGCATCCAGGTCCCCTTCTCCAAGTCACCGAGTTCTGGGCTCTGGTCTGGTGGCAGGGTGGAGGCTCCACACGGCTCCACAACATGAACTCTCCTCCGCCAAGACGGTGGGCCACGGCTGAATGCCCAGGCTGCCGAGAGCAGGTGCCTGTGCCGCACCCCGAGCCTGGCAACCTTCTCCAGGGAAAGTGGGTTGATTCTCTCGGGCCTTTCCGCTGCAGAGAAATCTTTTGCTTCCACAGGGAGGCGCGCAGTCTGCCTGCCCGACTGCTGCCCTCTGCCAGCACCATGAGTGCTACAGATGCCCCATCAGTTTGCACCTCCCCTCCCAGACAGCCACACACAGCCCACTCCAGAGAACAGAGTTGCCAGCTCTTCTTATGGGCCCAGCAAAATCTCAGTTTCAAAACATGACAGAGACCATGAGAAAAGGCAATTCTGGCTAATGTCTCTCCTGGTTGTAGATGTAAAACTGCTAAACAAAACATCGATCAATCAAAACCAGCAACAGTCTAACTGAGTTTATTTTAGGAATTCAAGGTTGTTTTAATATTTGGAAATCAATTAATTTACAAAATTAACAGCTCAAAGAAGAAAATCTATATCCATTAATATAGAGGCTAAAAATAGAGAAAATACAATGTGTATTCAGGATGAACTGCTAATAAGTTAGCAGTGGAGACCTGTGAAAATGCATCTAAGTAAGCCTGTTACATGGTGATTGTGTCTTAAAGCGCAATCATTATCTTTGCGATAAATATGGGCCAAGCACAGAGAATACCTGACCATAATTCCACTCAGCACTGACTGGAGGCGCTGACTTGGCTACCCAGTATGCCAAGGTGGGACAACAAAACACAAAGTACATGATTGGATTTCCTTTTTAAAAACGAAAATGTCAAGGGTTGGTGGGGACACAGAGCAACTAGAACGTTGGAGAACAATCTGGCATTATCTGGTTAGTTTGACATGTTCATATTGAACGTCAGCATTTTCACTCCTGGATATGAGCCATGTCTGCAAGAACCAAGAGTCCTGAACACCTGTGTTCATGAACAGCCCTGTCTGTGATACAAAAACCTGACACACTGCTGATGATGGTAGTCTAGAGTAGAGCAAGTAAGTACATTCCACAACATGTTGGCATGAGGTATCATACAGCTGTGAAAATAAACAACAGCCTTCAATATACAGCGATGAGCCTAAGGACATTACTGAGTAACAACTGAAAGTCACAGAAAAATACAGTCAGAATGAATTCACTTCCTTTTAAAGCCTAAAACGAAATACTACATTGCTTAGGGTCGCATTAACATATGGAATAAAACTATAACGACAATCAAGGAGCGAGAAGCATGAAATTCAAGAGCGTGGCCATGCACAGTGAAGGAAAGGGGTGGGAGTCACGAGAAGCAAACCCAAAAGGCGGGCTGAGTGGGGCAGGGCCATGCGGGTCAGGCCGTGCGGGGCAGGGCTCCCGTCACTGCAGGCCGGGGAGAATGCGGCAGCCCCAGGAGCGGAAGAGGAGGTGGACCATGACATTGTGCCAGGTGATGTGCCCACTTCATTTTTGTTTGGGCAAAAGTTGCCAAAATCATTAGAAGCAGGATCAATGAGTGAACTGGCCAGAATTTACCAACAGAAATTCCGAGAAGTGCATGTAAGAATCTGCTCCCAGCAGACTGGAGCATTGCTGTTGGAGCACAAATCCATCAACCAAAGAACAGGGTTTTGGGGGTTCTAAAGAGCAACTGTTCTGACACCTGTCCACGAGGGTCTACCTCAAGGGTACATGTCATCCTGACCATCATGTGTAACCAGCGTCTCTAATGAAAAGAGAAGAAATCTGGAATCTTTGTCAACACCATCTAGAAAATGGCCCAAGGACTTCTCTTAATGCAAATGCTGACACCCCAGGCCTGACAGGCCCGTCACTCTCATAAGCCTCCCTCCCCTTCCTGTTTTGCTAATAGCTCCAATTGATTAATCGCTCAAGTAAATCCCCAAGGTCAAACAGAGGCCTCGTTATCTTCCCGTGTTTCTTCTACCAGCCAGAGTCACTCTGAGCACTCGGGGCCTGAGACCGAGCTCGGGCTGCCGATGTTGCTCCTGTTACTCAGGCCACTTCCTAACCTAGCTTGGCCCACAGCTTCCCAGGAAGGTCCTCTACAAATTCAACAGTTGCTAAAACATAAGTGTGTCTACACACGTAGCCAGGCCACAGATGATCCGCTGGAGGTTTGTCCTGATCTCATTACAAATGCTTATGCTACAAACATGACTTACCACTCAAAAAAATCTGCAGCAAACGAGGGGAAACTATAAATTTGGGTTTTTTCATGGGGTGCTTATGCGTGGAACCCAGATTCACAGTGTGAGAAAGCCCAAACTGGCTCCCAGGTAGAGGCCCCACCGAGAGCTCCCGCTGAGAGAAGCAGAGGTCCCTGCCAAGAGCGGCAACAGCCCTCAGACACGCGAGTTAGGAGGCTTCAGCTGACTTGGGCCTCAGCCTTTGTGCTCTGGGGCTGTAGCCCTGTCACACCTCAGGGGCAGAGACAAGCCATCCCCACTGTGTGCAGTCCTAGTTCCAACCCAGAGAATCCACGAGGAGAATAAATGGCTATCTCATGCCACAGTTTTAGAGAAACGTGTTATGCAGCCAAGCAGCCAGAGCAAAGACCTTCTGAGGAGAAGAACGTACCGCGGAGGGTCACCGAGCGCCGTGAGTACGGGCGGGACAGGGCGGAGAGGCCGAGGAGGCTGGTGAGGCCAGACTATGAAAAATCTAACAACAGTGTTTTAAAAATTAGACCTAACCCATTGGCAGAACTGCTGCAAGTTTTAAAATTGGGATGTGAAATGTGCTAAGAACTGCAATTTAGCAAGATCTGTGACTGGCGTGAAGAAGACGCGCTTCTTCAATTGAGATGAACCCTAACCCAGCGGATGGTTAGGAGACGCGTTGCCTGTTCTGCCTTACGGGCGGCCTCTGCTGCCCGTTTATGCTGTCTCACGTGTGTTAACACGCCGGCAGGGGCAGGTCATGCCCACGCATTACCTCCACATGGATATTTATAGCAGCTTTAATTATAATTGCCCGGACTTGGACACAACCGAGCTGTCTATTTAGCGAGTGGCCAGTAACCCTTGTATCCTATTCAGTACTAAAGAAATGAGCAGTCAGGCTATGAGAAGCCACAAGAAAGCTTAAATGATATGGCTGAGTGAAAAAGCCAATCTGAAAAGGCTGCAGACTGCCACACGACCTTCTGGAAAGGGCAAAACTATGGCGACAGTTAAAATATCAGGGGCCGCCAGCAACTGGGGAGGGGGCAAGCATGCAGAGCGGCACATCCAGCAGCTCCACGCCGTGGCACGCGTGTGTCACGAGGCATCTGCCCAGAGCCGTGGAGTGCACCACACTCAGCGACCCCTCACGCGGCTATGGTCTTGGGTTACAAAGACGTGTTGTGTAGACCGGCTGATTGCAGCAGCTGCGGGGTGCAGACAGTGGGAAAGCTGAGCCCTGGGGGTCCCATGGGGTATCTCTATGCCTTCCGCTCAATTTTTCTGTAAACCTAAAACCTCTCTAGAAAATAAAGCCTATTTAAAAATTGTTTGGGGGGGAGGGGCACTCAGGAGCTTCAAGAAATTGTTTCAAACTTCTGGATTGGCTCCGTTTACGTGACTTTTGTTCTAAAACAAAGCAAGCGGTCTGAAAACACGTAACCACTTCTAACTCATTATCCATGTGACCAGAGCTGCACTGTGCTACAAATATCACTGTAACCCACAACTTGGTTTTCTCATGACGGGCTTTACAGGAAAACTATGAACTATAAACATGAACTAGTAAAACAGATCTATACTAGAAAACTACAATTTTATATTTTAGATATTGGGGATCTAGGTAAGAGGGAAACTGACACCCATGGTCCAAACTGGAAGAGAAATGAAGCTTAGCACACTGGGACCCCTACTGCGGCCAGGGAAAGGCTCTCTGGGTAAACATAAAAGCCAAGGTATATAAGGGCATGAATGATACTAAAAAGCATACTTCGGTCTCATCTTGGCAAAAGTGCTTTCATCCTTTTTTCTGAGAAAACTGAGAGGAAAAATGTATTGAAAATTAAGGTTCATGGAGAACAGACAGGGGTGGCTCAAGAGCCGATCTGCTGGACTGGCCCTGATAGTGTGATTTACTGGAGGTAAGTTCTGGATCTGTTGTCTGGTGCCTTTCTCCAGTACCAACTACTCAAGACGTGACGAACCCACCTGTGGATACCACACACCTTCTGTCCAGTGTTTCCTTCTGGAAAATGTCGACGAAGTCCATAAAAACCAGAAAAGGAACTAAAATTATTTTTCTCCTTTTTTACCAATTTGGAAACGATCTAAGGTTTACAGTTAACTGCTGAAAGAGAATAACGGGCGAGCAAAATAAAGAAAAAAACATGAAACCTGAAAAAATACAATAAAATGTAGGTTGAATTTCTCCTTGCTAGTCCTGTTCCTCATGATCAAGGCTAAAGCTATTGTTGCTATATTTCACAAAATAAAACCTGACAAGAAACAATTCTTGTGCAGTCTTTCTTATCCATGTTTCTGAGTAAACTTCCTAGTTTTAACCAATTTACCTGCATCCCAGAGGTTACAGACGTCTGCTTCCCCTTCCGACAACTGTGTAGTTGATGAGATAATGGAAGGCGGAACTGTCAGCAGAAGTGGCTTGGGTTCATCCTCATAAAACACTATCAGGTCCTACAGAAAATGAGAGGAGAAATGAAAGTCGGGCGAAGTTAATTTCACTGCCTCCTTTGCTGCAACAGACGGATGGACAGTTTATGAAGATACAACGTGAGCGCCAGCACACACATACACGGTGACTGACTGAAGAACTCGCACACGATCGTGGTGCTCTTGGGTGCTCCCCACGTGTAGGCAACTATCTACCCTTGGGAGTTCCCTTCCTTGCTGAAGACATCTTGTGCACACAAGCAATAGTTTTGCTTGGGGCATTAACTGCTGCCCATGCCAGGGGCCATTATCCCGCCTTCCTGGTAAGAAGGAGACCATTGCGTGGGTAGGTCACGCCGCATCTAGCCAGCTCCTGCATATCGACATCTGAGTTGCTTCCAGATTTCAGCTATGATGAAAGAAGTTGATATGAACACTCTTGTTCACATCTTTTTATGGGCCACTGCTGCAGGGCAGAGAATGGCAAGAGCTTCGAACAGGTTTTAACTTCACCAGGATTTCGTCAGAAACTACCAAACCATTTCCCAAGTGGTCTGCCCCTCTTTATCATTCAACTTTCACTTCAAAATCACTGTAGGTCCACATTCAGTTGTAAGAAGTAGTGCACAGAAGGCCTGTGTTTCCTGTACCCGGTTTCCCGAACTGTCAGTCATGGCTAGTGATAAAATTTTAAAGAGTAGATGTTTTGGGCTCTCACCTGAATCCGGTCAAATTCTTCTAAGCTTTCCCTTGCTCACATTACCTCTAGTTCAACCCTGAGGGTAATTATGATTACAACATGCCCTCCAGAGCAATAACTAGCAGGACTTTGGGGAAAATGGAGGTTTGGTACTTAGAGGACCTGGAAATTACACAGCACACCTGAGCCACAGTGAGGTGGGGGGAAGGAGAGACCTGCTTGTATTGGCTGAGGATGGGGGGTTTTGAGTTTGGGACTTAACCTTTACCGGTGCTTTCAAATTCTGAGAGTGGGGATTTAAAGCGCAGAAAAAGAAACAGAAGGAAAAACCGGGAGACAACAGTCAGTCCCAAATAAACTGTTACCTAAATCAACAAGGGTCTGCAAAACACAAGGAATGCCGTTGGGGTGTCGGCATTAGCTCTCTTTGAAAGGAAGCCTTTGACGGGGCTCCCTGGACACTACGCTTCAAACAGGAACTTCAATCACAAAAAGAAAAACCAATTCTGGGAGTTCACAGTGCACCCCTACAGGTAAACAGCTCACCAGATGACGGTACCACGTGACACCTGGAACCCTGACATTGATATCGTCAAGATACAGGATATGTCTATCGCCAGTCAGGATCCTTCCTGTGGCCCCCCGTGACTACCCATGTGTTCCCTACTTCTGTAATTCTGATATCTGAAGAATGCTATACAAATGGAATCATACAGGATGTAGCCTTTGGAAACTGACTTTTTTCAACTGGCATAATTCCTGGAGATTCATCCAAGTTGTTCTGTGCATCAATAACTTGCTCCTTTTTTAACTGCCAAGTAGTATCCATGGTATAGATGCTCAGAGTAAGCATATTTAACCCATAAAAAAATCTGAGTTGTTTTCAGTTTTTATCTATTGCGAATAAAACTGCTGTGAACACAGATATGTATGAAAATACGCTTCCAGAGCTCTGGGAGAGACGAGTGTGACTGCTGGATCAGATGGTAGTTACACGTCCAGTGTTGTGAGGACCTGCGCCGTGTTTCTAGAGCGCTGGACCAGCCTCCATTCCCTGCAGACCAGGAGGGGCCAGAACTGGCACGAGCTTATCAGCACGTGATGTTCCCACTCTTTCACTTTAACCACTCTGAGGTCTGTTTAAATGAGATATTGCTGAGGATGCTGAAGTCATTTCATCTGCTTATTTGCCATCTGTATTTGCTGAAGCGACTTCTTGTCATCTGACCATTTCCTAATTGGACTGGTGAGTTTTAACTGTTGAGTTCTTTATCCTGGACATGTGGTTTAGGCAAAGAAATCCAGTTTCTATTTTTTTCTTTCTGTCCCCTGTGGGACAGAAATGTTGTTGTTTATCTTTAGATGTCCTTTAGTATAAATAAACAGAAAGTCCAGGAATGGACTCAAATATAAAATGGGATTTTATTATGTGATAGAAACCACAATTCAAATCACTAAGGAAAGGTGGATAATTCAACAATTAAATGGAGAGAACTAAGTATCACTTTGTAAAAATAACATTGTAAGGAGACTCTCTACTACTCTCCATACATTAACACAAATTTTTGATGGATAAAATTTAAATATATACTTAAAAAATTAAAACACAAAACCCTAAGGTAGTTTCTCACAAAGTGAAACACTCTCTCACCATCTACCCTCACCTAGCAACTGCACCCTTTGGTATTTACCTAAAGATGCTGAAAACGTTATGTCCACAGAAACACCTACACAGAGTTGTTTATAGCAGCTTTATTTATAGTTTCTAAATGCTGGCAGCAATGAAGCTGTCCCTCGGTAGGCAGATGGATTAGTAAACCTGTTGGATGAGCACAGGACCCAGGCATGGTATTCGAGCTAGGATGAAATGAGCTGTCAGTCATGAGAGGACACGGGGAAGTCTTAAATGCACACTACTCAGTGTGAGGAGCCTGTTGAGAAACACTGTCCTGTATGACTCCGACTATATGACCTTTTGGACAAAGCAAAACTATGGCGACATTCAGAGGATCCGGGGTTGCTGGGGTGATCGGGGAGAGGAAGACAGGTGGAGCACAGAGAACTTTGAGTACAATGATGCTTTTCTCTATGAAATTATAATGATATATACCATTATTTGTTTGTGAAAACCCTTAGAATATACACCATGACCTTTATGTAAACTATACATAGGAATGACCTCTATGTCAGCTAGAGTCTTTGAGTGTTAATAAAGTCTGCATGGAGGCTCATTCATTAAAATAAATGACGGCTCTGATGTAGGAGGCTGACAGTAAAAGACACTCATGGGGGTGATGCAGTGGGTAGATGGGGAAATCTCTGTAGCTTTCACTCAATTTTGCTGCCAACCTAAAACTTTTAAGACCTAGTCTGTTGGGACCTCCCTGGTGGCCTAGGGGTTAAGTCTCAGAGCTATCACTGCTACAGCCTGAGTTTGATCCCCAGCCAGGGAGTTAAAACCCACATATGGCAAGGCAGACCTCCCCCGTCTCATCAACTGATCCCCTCAGCAGGGGATTTCGGTGTACCTGCTCCCCACTCCATCTCTGGTGAATCTTCTCCCCCCCCCCCCGCCCCACTCTCCCTTCACCCCAAACCTCTGGCCTACACCATGCATGGAGCCCATGGCGCAGCGTCAGAACCCGGCTGTGGCAGCAGCAGCGTGGGAGTAAAGAAGAAAGGCGGGAGTGACCTGCTGCTCTTTGACAGAAGCAAAATACATATAAATAAAATAAACCCCGAACAGAGAGAAAGTCAAATGGAAAGCTAACACGCATCGATACAGACCCAGGTAAAGAGGCCAGTTAGTTAACAAATAGCTCTTAGAAAATAAGAAAAAGATGAGAGACCAAACAAAGATAACCAGAACAAGAATGGATAATGGTTAAAAAATATAAATGCCTGACAAGCAGGGGAAAGTGCTGTAATCTTACATATGTGTACAGCAGAAAACTGAAATTCTGGCTCTTGGACTGGAAAACAATGTAAAAACCTGACAGTGCTCAGGTTTGCAGAGGTTGAGGCCTGGAGACTGACTGGGGACACGCTGTGGATGGGTCGAAACTGGAACAGCTTCAGGGAGGACAGTTTGGCAGGACTTTTCAAAACTAAAAATAAACCAACCTTTTAGCAATTCCACTTCTGGGACCAGCATCATAAAAATGCATATACAAGGGTCACTGTGGCAACACTGCTCTTAATAGACAAAAACACGAAGCATCACTAAGTGATAGCAATAGGGAACGGTTAGAGAAATTCAGATTCATTTACAAGCCAAGAACACAGCACGACATACGCACTGATAGAGAAATGTGTCCATGATGTGAAGTTAGAAAAAAAAATTATTTTTTTGAACAAGGTATGCTGAATGATGCAAGAATTAAACAGAAAGATGCTTTTGTTCAAAGCATGTGGGAGACATTAAACATTTAGAGAAAAGAGATATGTGGGCGCAGAAAATTTCCCCCCCAAAATTTCATAAAAACCTGTTAGTAATTTTGCCTCTGAGAAAAGGAACTGAAAGACTATAACGAAGTAAGGAAACTTTGTGTTTCACTCTTTACTATTTCATATTGTGAAACCTTTTTCAATAAGTATTTTCTAATTTAAAAAGGATGAAAGTACAATCTTGAAAATAAAAAAGGACTTTAAAGCCTAAAGTAAATGATGCAGAAAAGAGGGATGATGAGTGAACATAATTAGAGTAAGTGTAATTTCCATTTCTCTACCAACTTTGATGAGCTCAAATTTTTGCAAATATAATAAGTGATATGCCAATAATAAACCCAAGGATAAAAATGATTTACTCCTCATCTAGCAAAATAACAAACGGAGCCAGTAGGAAATAAACATTTATCTTCCATCACTAGCAATTTAGTAACTGAACTAGACTGAAGGTTTTGGTCAGCTTTAATTTGTGTGCGCCAATTCATAGCATCCCTATCTGTTGCTATGGCAACAACTGTGATGGAAAAAATCATAACTTCATTGTTGAATCTCCTCAAATAGGCAAAGAAGGTCTTTTGAGGTGATGAAAAGCTACAAATAGCCTTATTAATTAGCAAATTTAATAATAAAAATTCTGGACAAGGTGCGGAGAGAAAACACATTCTTGCTAAGTGTCATAAATTTAAAGGTTTTCTGAATTTCATCACAGGCAAGCACTCATCTCCTTCTGAAAGCCCTATTCTATGAAGACTTTTATTTACTGCTTTCAGACAATTCTTTCATTTGTAGAAAGAGAACAATTAAAGAAATTTCTATTTTAACATTTTAAAAGGTATTTTAAAGCACTCCTCATTCTGCCTAAGCAATCGACAATATCTCTTTCTCATTCCATGTTAAGAACATGAGAATTTTAATGTAGATGTAGTACGTTTGGCAACAGCAATTAGATTTACTCTTCAGCTCAGTGAGGTTTGCCTTCTGCTACGAAAGCAGATTGCTGAAGAAGTCACATTGGATTGTATCTAACCATCCGGACGGTAACAAGAGGAGACGCTTGTCAGTGCTATGATGGAATAGTGTTGGGATGTAGTGATGCTCTGAGAGGAAAATACAGCACTACATTTCTCTTGAGGAAAGAGCACCTTTTTTTTTTGCTCACTGATATAAGACGTGGACCGATGTAAATCACAGTTCTTCCAAAGTATATGTATATAAAAGTGTGTGTGTGTTTATATCTAGGTGGCATTTTATGCCTTTATTAGGCTCCAAATCATATCAGAGTATTTGTCTATTTTCCCCTTTCAAGTCACCAGCAGCAAAGAAACTGATCTCAAATTTAAAAATCATTTTGATTTAATGTCATCTCTTTTAAAATGATCTACATATTTTCAATCAGTGAGTTATTATGTAATTAAGGAACAGGAACTTTTATGTACTTCTCTGAGCTGCTAGAAAATCAGGTAAATCCAGTATGTAATGGGGGTGGAAAAAGGGGATGGGAACAGAAGGTCCAGGAGTAACTCCAACCTCCTTCCTAGGAACAGTGCAGGAGCACTCAACAGAAAAATGAGCAGGACCCCAAACAAGCTTTTTGAACAGGAAATGGAGAAGGAAGTTAGTGTCGAGTGCCTACTACTCATCATTTCTTCACTGATGAAACTGTGGCAACTGAAGAGTCAGGAACAGATAAGACCCAGTAACAGTCGGTGACGCTCTCAAGGAGCGTTCCCTTCTAGTAGGAGAAATACACACCAAATCGAAAAACAAATGACTGGATAAGATCACGTCTGGAGTGGAACAGATTTCCACTGAGGATGGTTCTAGGGTCAGACTGGCGATAGATGGTTCCCTCCCTCCATATACACAGCAAAGAGAGGAAATACGAAGGTGAAAATGAACAAGACACAGTCATGTTCAAAAACAAGAACCCCTTCCTGGCAAGAGCTTGCTTGAACTTTTGAAAATAGGGTGAGAAGGTTGGGACTTGGACATTTGGGGTTTTGATGCCAAAATATGCAGAGGAAACCAGGAGCAACTCAACCCCTGGCAAGTAAGTCCTGGCTGCAGGCGATTCCCCCCCCTCCAGAGGAGGAGCCAGCGGGGGCTCCCCTCTTCAAATGGGGTGTGGCCCTGGGGCGCCTTCTTATGAAGGTAGCCAAAGGGACCTGCCATCAATCACAGCCCGTGCAGATGGCTCCTAAAAGCACTGTGTCCAGGGAGAGAGAGGACGCGAACTGAAGCCCAAGGAGCAAGGAGGGCGCGGAGGGGCAGGATCTCTGATGTGATACCCACAAGGAAGGAGCCTCAAGCTGCCTGAGGAAACCCTAAAAGCGGATTCGTAGTCCTGGGCGGCAGGACTGAAGAATGAGGAAGAGCACAGAAAGAGAAAGATTAAAAACAAAAACAAAAAATGTGGGTCTCTCAAGAGGAACTGAAAACCAATATTCCAAAACACAGGAAGAAAACTGAATTTACTGCTGACAGAGTGAAACTCAGAAATCTAAGACGTATTTAAAACTGAGCATGTTTACAGGCCTCCAAAAGGTACTGAAATCGATAACATCAATTTAATGTTAATTTAAAGAATAATAAAGCAAGAAACAAAAACAGGCAGAGACAAAATACATACAAGTGGGCATAAATAAGCAATGGGAGTCCTGGAAGTGTTTACTGAAATTAAACACTCAGTGGAAAGGAAAAGTTGTAGAGTGAGCACAGATGAAGGGAGAAAAAATGAACTGGGAGATGGTGCTGATTAATTACTTAAAATGCAGCATGGAAATAGAATGAAACAAAAAATATTTTAAGTAACTGAAAGACATGCAAAATGAGAGATGAAGTACCCCCTAAGAGACCTAGTAAAAATTAAGCAGAGACAATTCCCAAGGGAGCAGCGCCTGCGTGCCATTCAAGAGCGACAGACGCCAAAACCACAGTAGGCTGCCCGCGTGTGTGTGTGTGTGTGTGTGTGTGTGTGTCTGAGGAGAGCCGGGTGTGTGTGTGTGTGTGTGTGTGTGTGTGTGTCTGAGGAGAGCTGGGAATGACGTGGGGATGAGCAAGTGCTGGGTCTGGTTTGGGTCCTGGTGGTGCCCTCCCTGGAGACACTAGAAAGGGACAACATCAAAATGAGGAGAAAATCGTGAGAGGCTGCTGAGGAGACGGAGAAGCTTCTGAATGGTGTATGTTGGGGGAAAAGGGGCTGAGGGAGAGGTATTGGTGCAGGCATGAGCGTGAGCGGGGCAGAAGGGAGCCTGTGTCCCAGCAGGCTAGGAGGAGGAGGCGGGCAGAATTTCCCAGCTGCCACTTGGGAGCTGCCGGAGCACCACCAGGACCCAGTGCAAGGTCAGGGCAAAGGCCTTGAGGGGGAAGGAGGCCACAGCCATCCATGGGCGCTGACCACACTTGGGAAGAAGCTTCTCCACCCTTTTCCAATCCCCAGGACAGATGTGTCACAAGGAGTACAGATGTGTTCACAGAGTCTCTCCCTAAATCTACCTCTTCTCAGGGAGCTAAGGGTGAGGATAACTTGGGGCACTGATCATTAGAATGAGGAATGAGGAATTGATCATTAGAATGGGGAATGACCTCTGGTGTTTTTATGGGAGGGTTCTCCACACTGGAGTTCGGCCTCCCTCTTTCCACATGTAATTGAAAGGCTTGAGGAGAAAAACCTCTCTAGCAATCGCAGACAGAGCAGTCATACTCCTGGATACCATTTGAGGAGCAAAATTAATTCAAAGTAAAAATAAAAAACTGAATTACAGAAAAAATGGGCCAAAACATTTCAAAGCTTAATAAACATAGTAAAAGAGATAAGGAAACATATAAGCACTACCAAACAAGAACACACACAATGAAAAGACTAAAACGGAAATATTAACTGTAAAAACAGAATAGTCAAAGTAGAGCACACAGGTGGGCTGGGCAGCCGCGGATGGGTACAACTGAGGACAATGATCAAGCTGCAAGACCAAACGGGGCGTCCGGAGGGAAAAAAGCCCAAAGAAACAGAAAAAATATGTAAAGGGTACTACTAATACCCAGACAAAAAGCACCAACGAAAGAAAATTAAAATAAACAGAAGGGAAATCGTAAGACAACCAGAGTCGTTTTCTCAGAATGGGGGGCGGGGGGGCCGGAGGGGCGCGTGCGCTCCCACTGGAAATGCAGCGACAGTCGGTCTTCTCAGCAAGTGCCCCTGGAGCTACTGGGCATCACGGGCATGAAAACGCCAGGAAACGCAACTTTTTAAAAGAGCCTCCACTTACACTTCACACCTTAATAGAAAAATTAATTCAAAGTAGGCTCTAGCCCTAAATGTGAAACAGAACTGTGGAAACTTTGAGGAAAACACACGGCCTTCTTTAGACAAAGGGTTGATAGAGATGACTCCACTGCATAAATGACATTTTAGCAAAATGTAAGACTTTTGCTCATAGAGAAAAGAAATGACAGAGTGGAAGCATGGTGTCGGCCAACGTCTGCCTCGGGGCCCCGGCAGCTGTCTCCCGAGTTTTGGCCTCACCAGCCACTGGGCCGCCGGGCTCCCCCCACCTGTCTAGGCAGACTATCTGTTGAGCCTTTCTGCTGCCTATTGGGGTTCCCCACGGCCGGTGCTCCCCCGCGTTGTCTGGCCGCACCCAGCGGTGAGCCGGTTGGTGGCGGCACCAACGGCTTCCCTCCGCCGCCATCTTACTCCACCCCCGACTTCAGGGCGGGTAGAGCGGAACATTTCGAAGAAAAACATCAGAGATCTTTATTTTACAAGGATAAAAGTCTGAAGATTTTCGAAAAACACAAACTGTAAGGGAAATTGATGACTTAACCTTATTATTTGAAAACGTGTATGACAAAAGATACCCAAAAAGAGCAGCCACACGGGAAACCGGAAAAGGCAAGAAGGTCTCAGGCCTCCGGCCCTGGGGACCCCGCGCTTCTAAGCCCTGTGAGGTCCTGACCCTGAAGAGCTCTGCGACAGGACATTAGTGCTGACTGAGGCTATGCCGTGGTGGTTCGTGAGGAGCAGCCGGGGTATCCAGGGACTCACCTCTGTCGACTTCCAGGCGTTCACCTTGAGCGGTCGCGCTTCCGGGGACGGCTCGGCTCCACTGGGCGGCGGGGTGTCTGGGCACTGCTCCTGCTTCAGCCCTGCCCTGGAAGCGTTTTCTGCCAACAACATAACACTAAGAGTTTTACTTTGGCAAAAATAATGATGTTTTTACATTAGTTCACTTTTTTTTAAAGTTAATCACTTTGGATGAGTCATTTTATCTACAAAGACAAAATACATGTATCATGTGCCAGTAGTTACCAATGAATGATTATTTAAATACATCCCCTGGTAATTGGCAAGTTCAGGCGTTTTAAAATATATCTTCAATTCTAGTCCTTTATTTTACCAACCATTCTATCTTTCTGCTTTATAACTGAAACTTAAAAAAAATAAAAATAAGGTAAACACAATGAAGAAAATAGTTTGAAAATGTGAAACTTAAAATTTCAGCAAAGCAGAAATAACAGTTGTAGTTATTCTAATTAATATTTAAAAGAATCATACTACTACAATGGGAATTCATCTCCTGAGTTGTTAAGTAAAATCAAAATACACAGAGATGATTTGGTTAGGAAAAATCTTTAAATAAAATTTTTTTAAATTACGGCCCTCCCTGGTGGCGCAGCACTAAGAAGCTAAAGCCATTTCTGCATGAGTTCGATTCCCGCCTGCCCCGGAGGAGATCCACATGGCGCGGCAGACCTCTCCTGACCCGCCCGCTGCTCCCCTCAGCAGTGTACTTTGTCAATCTGCCTGTTCTCCCCGCTGTCTCTGGTGAATCCTCTCACCCTCTGCATCTCTGGCCTGTACCCCAGTTCTGTATGAATAAATAAATAAATCTTTTAAAAAAAATAACATAAAAATATATCAATGAAAAGAAGCTACTTCTGCCTGTATTTTTACTTAGTGTTTTTATTGTCTTAATGCACTTTCCTTCCTACATTAAATACTAGAAACAAAAGTATGAGTCTTACTGATATGTTAGTGTATTGCTGGATACAATAAAGAGTAAAGAAAACTATTTCAAACTGGTATAGGCATCCACTACAGATATTTTAAAGGCCTTCCAAGGGCTAGCTGCAGTTAGACAGTTTTAAAGGAATCGACGGCTCGACCCACAACCTGTTTTCTTTCAAAAAGCAGATGTGCACAAGCTTACGGCAAGGCTCTACGCCTTAGCCACACACGTGAGAAAGCCAGTGTGTAGAAACATCAGGCTAGTCCTTACCTGCTTCCCTTTCCTAGTTTTCTCCCACTTTCTAAGACAAGAGACATTTCTTTACCCACCTTGGTAGGCCTCATGCGTAAGAATCCCCGCTGTGCATAGGTGAGAACAGAGGGCAAAACAAAAGCAGGTTGGAATGGGGAAGTCAAGGCTTCAAAATCCCAGAGTACAGCTTCAAAACTCCTGTCATACACCCATCTCTTTTCCTGGAAAAGCCCAGCACAACGAACGGGGTGTTTTCATTCCCGCAGGGGTGTCGGGGGCGTCTAACATGTAGTACAGCATTGGGGGGGGGTTGGGGGGGAGAGCAGGGCCATGGACAAGTTTCATTTAATGTCATATGCCTCTGACCCCCTAACTTGTCAAAGAATTTCCAAGCAAGAGTCCCCTGAGGGGAAGCAAGGCAAGCACCGAGCAGGGGCACCTTGTTTCGTCAACACAACAAGCGCACCACCAGGCTGTCTGGGCTCTCCAGCTTGGCGGAGCTGACTCTGCCCAGTGATGTCTGTTGACATCACTGTTTACACTGTTTGAATAACGGAAAACTTTTTTGTCTTGTTTTGTTTTTTAAGGTTTATTTATTGATGCATACAGAACTGGGGTACAGGCCAGAGGTGCAGGGGTGGTAAGAGACAGACCAGAGACAGTGGGGAGCACAACAGGCAGATCCATGAAGTACACTGCTGAGGGGAGAGGCGGGGAGACAGGAGAGGTCTGCCGCAACATGGGGGTCACCTCCAGTGGGGATCAAACTCACACTGAAGCGGCTGCAGTCAGCTTGCAGTGCTGTGCCTAACCTGTTGAGCCACCAGGGAGGGCCCAGTTGTTTATTTTTTTTAAGAAAGTTTCACTCTGGGTTAAGTCTCAGCCTCTTGATTACCACTACAGCCCAAGTTTGATCCCTGCCAGGGAGTGAGCCACAGGGCGCAGCAGGCCACTCTTGTCTCCCGTCCCCTCAGCAGTGTGCTTCCGTAGATCACCTGTTCCGCTCCCACTCTGTCTCTGGGGAATCCTCTCACCCCTCTGCACCTCTGGCTTGTACCCCAGTTCTTCTATGCAGAGAAAAAATGTTTCAATCTAATTTGGCTGGCTCTTTTGACAATGAGGGTTGGTTTTTGTCAACTAGGTTTTATGTGGTAAATATTTTCCAAAAATCTAAAGAACTAAATGTGTAGTTCTGAAAAGTTGATAAAAATAAATTTAAAGTATACAATTCAATGAAATCATTTTCTCTAAAAATTATTGTTTTGACAAATGTACTTTAATGTTTTTATTTCTCCCACACTTTTTGAGTATGTTAAATTAAATTGAAGTATAACAGGTATAACTTTTACAAACAATCTGATAAATTTTAGTAAAGGTTTTTTGGTATTATTCCCAGAAATTGAGAAAGCAAATTACTACTAATGACTGTTTAACAGATCTTTTTCTAAGTGGGGTGTTTCCAACCCTTGGCTTTCAACAACACTGAAGAAAAGACCTAATCAAGTTAACAGTTGACAAGAGATGAAAAAACATTTTTATAATAAATCACCATATAATTTTTGGCATATTACTTGGAGGGAATTCATAGCCTTGACTGACATTGCTATAATAAAGCACTTTTTCCTCCCACCTACAATTTTATGTGAACAAGTCGTCTGAGCGTTTACATCTAGAAAATGTAAAACAGAAACAGCCCTTATGCTGAATGCTGATTATTTCTAGCAATAAGTAATATTCACATGTGGGCTAATGAACAGTTCAACAAAAAGTATGTATTTCTAATAAAACTGTATTCCTCGTGCTTCATACACATTTATAAACATATAACACACATTTGTGTGGTGTTGATCAATTGTGTACTAAGAGACTGCAAGGATAAGTCACTCTAGAAGGAATATTTTACCACTGAAAGCCTCTGGTCACAGAATAATTAGAATAATAACTTCAATTTATATATGCATTTGATGTAGAGAAGACTTCCAAGCAAAAAAAAAAATACTCTTAGGATAAAGTTCTGGAAGTGATATGAAATAGAAATGTGAATTCAAGGAAAAGGAAGGGTATAAAGTTTCCAACCTTTAGAGACAGCAATGTATTTTTTCCAAATGAATTATGTAAGCATAAATTATAAAAATTTTTTAGTCTTCTACATATACTTATTTAGACTTTTCTAACAGTTTTGTTTTCTTTAACGTCAGTAGTTCAAACGATATCCTGTGCAACTATTTATGATAAATTTCATGTTAGCTTCAAGATATCTAAGGATTTACAATGTGACCCTACAATGTGCATGTGATTTCCAAAATCATGTGGTTATGCAAGAAAACAGGTTCAAAAAGATTTCAGCTAAGCTAGGGAGGGAAGTCCAACAGACAGCCTTAAAGGAAACAATCAGAGAATAATTACATGCCAGAAACCCTTAAATTCACTAACAGTAGGGCCTCCCTGGTGACCTAGGGGTTAAGTCTCAGCACATGGATCATGTTGGCACCTCTGCGGCCTGGTTCACTCACCAGCCAGGGAGGGACCCACGGGCGCGGCAGCCCTCTCCTGTCTCCCCAGCTCCCCTCCGCAGTGTGTTTCAGTGGATCCGCCTGTTCTGCTCCCCACTCTGTCTCTGGGGAGTCCACTCACTGCCCGCACCTGTGACCTACACTCCAGTTCTTCTACACACACACACACACACACACACAAATTAAATTTCATTAACTTTAGGAATAGAACTCTCAGGAAGACAAAAATCAGTGTTAAGGAATCATAAAGAGTTCAAATAGGAATTAAAATCTGAACAAAGTTTTGAAGGATGGTGAGGATCTCCGTACACTTGGAGGGAGAGATTATTCCAAGCAGAAGGAACTACAGAGGTAAAAGGAACAGGTGTGGTCTTTTCCAAGCCTATTGAAGAACTTTACTTTTCTGTTCATTTCTTGTAACTTCACATGAAAATGATTCATGAAAATGAGCTTACTTGGGGCTTAGAGATTTTATAATTAATGCTGGTAAATAATAATGGTTTGAGGATTAGATCATCTGTGTACTTTCATGTGATTTAATCAGGGACTATCTGCTCATTCTTTTAACATTATGCAATAAATTATCCTCAGAATCGCAAGGCCTTAGATTTTTAACACACACAAACAAAAACTTCAGGAATTCAAAACACGGAGAATAATGAGAATAACTCAAATAACTTTGAATAATGAGAATTGTGAAAAAAAATATGTTCCATATCTAGAGATTCATTTTCACTTAGAAGTAAAATGTTACAAACCTCCATTAAATAACCTTATCGGGGCACGCAGGAAGGCAGTTAGAATATAGTGAGCCTCTGGAAATTCATTGAGACACTTTTTAGTAGCAGCACAGAACCAGAAGTGAGGTGTGCTTAATTAAATTAGGTGGTTACACAATGTTTATTTCTGGGTCTTACCAGCAAGTTCAAGGGGTTAGTTCTCTAGTGGAAACTAAGTCCCTCTGGTATCATTAGCTATTTATCAGTTGAGGCTGTGAAGTCACAAGGAAGGACTAGTATGTGAATGAAAACCTCAAAGGAAAAAGTGAAGATGCTACAGGAAATGATGCTACTGAGTCATTCGAAGATAAATGCTTCGATACCAAGACTGCAGGTACTGCGGAGAAACCATCTAGAGAGAAGCTGTGGAACTCACGGAGTCTGTGCCCCTCTGATAATACCACAAAGCAGAACTGGTGAGCGCTGTGATAGTTCTTAGATGAGATATCACACTGACACCCAAACCCTCACACACTGAAAAGTGCACGCGCGTATTTTGGAGCTAAAGATCTCTGTAAATTGAACAAATTGAACTGGACCACCTACTGTCGAGCATCTGAAGGACAACGCTGTGGTATCCTACGGTGTCACTGCAGCTGTAGTTCAAGTAA